GTGTTGACGGAAAGCTGTGAAGGAGGTTGGAGAAGACACGAGGATCTTGACACTGAAGGACTTCTTTTATATTGAGTCGATTGTAGTCCAGTTGATGTTGACATTGTGCAGAGATGTGATGAGGCCAAGGCGGTAAACGAAGCGACATGCATTACTTATTATTTCACTCTGGTTTAGCTATATTTAATGTTTAAAAGTACCTGTTAGTATTAAAATTTTGTTTTTTGAAGAAAACTATTGAGAGATGGAGGCCCTTTTCAGGGTGGGCTGGGATCATTGGGTCCAATGTCCGGGTGAATTTAGATGTGGCGAAAACCAGAGTACACAGAGAAAACCCACTTTCACAGGACAGACGCCGAATAATCTATCTGTCCTGTGCCCTGGGTGTGAATGGAAACATGGCAGTTAGAAACAGCATGACATAATATAATAATTAACCCTCAACAAGTGTGGATGCTTGGTTACTCTTTGTTCTGTTGTATGGTGATGTGAGTTTAAGAGAAGTTACTGTGTAACGGTAAATTTTTCTTTTTCTGCTTTATTGTAGTGTTTACAGGCAAGCTCGGTGAGTCTATTCCTTAAAGTGGGTAGGTTACTAATTTTATGTTAATAAGTTAGGAGAGTGAATTTCGGAAGCTTCAAGGCTAATCTAATTGTTCTGTTTTGTTGCAATTGTAGTTTTTAAGGTTATTTTCTGACATGTTGTATGTTATCTGACAGCCGTATCCTACGAGAGGGTGTATAAATGTTTTATATATTTTAAAAGAGATGTTTCTGGTGTGCAGCCGGTGTTTTAACACAGGTTATTTTCTGACATGTTGTATGTTATCTGACAGCCGTATCCTACGAGAGGGTGTATAAATGTTTAATATAATTTTAAAAGATGTTTCTGGTGTGCAGCCTGTGTTTTTACAGACAATTAGTATGATATAGTTAATACGTTTACTAATTGAGGCGTGTATGTTTTGGATATGTTTGTCCATGTGAGGTGTGTGTCAAGCGTGATGTCAAGAAATCTAATATTGTTGTTCATTTTTATTTCTGTTTCTCCTAACTTTATTTTGATTTTCTTCAGGGTTTTAATGTGTTATCATTTTTTTTTTGAAAAAGGTGATTGCTTGTGTTTTTGTTGGGTTTAATATAACTCGCCATTTGTTACACCATTCTAGAATTAAATTCAGTGATTTTTGAACTCTTACAGTTGCAATTAGTAGATTTCTTGATATGCTCCAGACAGCTATGTTGTCGGCATATTGAGAATGATATGTATATGTTAGGATGGGGCATAGGATGTCAGTTACATAAATTATGTATGGGAGTGGCGAAAGAACTGATCCTTGCAGCACTCCTGCAGTAATACTAAATGTTTTAGATAATGTATCGTTTACTTTAACTTAAGCTGTTCTATCGGCCTGGAAGTTGGATATCCATCTAATTATAGTTTCTTTGATATTCAACTGTTTATATTTGATGACATTGTGTCAAACAAAGTTTTTTAACGTTTAAGATAGATTAGTTAGTATTAAATGATTTGTGAAAAGATTCCGTTAATCGTGTCAGATGGTTTATTGTTTGTCGGTTCTTTCTTGATGCGTTTTAGATGTTTGATAGTAATTTTTTATCGCATAAGAACAGAAGTCTTTTATATATTATTTTTCCCATTAATTTGCCAAGACAGCTTAACAAACTAACGGGGCGAAAGTTATCGGGGTTAAATATGTTTTTTGTTCTTTGGGTATCGCCTTCGAAGTGGGAGAGAAATCTTTTAAGATGGTACATTCACAACTGGCGTAGAGTCCTAGTCTCAGGTGAAAGCATATTATTCCTGTACAGAGCTGATGGCAGAGTATATGTATCCAATCGTGTCCAGGATACATTTGGAAGAGGAAATTTTGACGACCAAAGGACCCCACTTTTTGTAATCATATGATAATCTCACTGGTCAGCATTACAAGAATGTCATCTTACGACCTGTTTTTCTGCCATTATTCGCCAACAGCTCCAGGGTAGTTTGTTACAGCATGAAAACGACAAACCCCTCATGACATGAGTTGTACAACAATTCATCCGAGCCAACAACATAGATGTTCTGCCATGGTCAGCTCGTGTTCCTAACATGTCCCTAATATGACATTTCTGGGATCATCTTAACAGAAGAATAAAGAAACGACAAAAATTCACCACCTAACATATAAGAGATGAGGAAAACCATCTTGGAGAAGTGGAGACGAGGTTCTGATGACGTTATCTGTCGGCTAACTGGCTCAATGAAGAAGCGTGCAGCATGTATTAATGCCCGGGGTGGGCACACACGGATATTAACCTCGATTCTGTGGTGAAAATATACTTTTGTTTGAGTGCACATTTGTATAAATTGTGAATCTAAGCCCATATGGAATTTACAGAAATCGTTTCAATTCGTAAGTCATCCACAGATGTGATTTTTCTAACAATGCATTGAACAGTGATTTTTTCATCAAATACACTTTATTTGAAATCGCTATTTTGTTTCGTTGTCAAAATATGGCAAATCTATTTTTTTGGTATACTTTCTTGTGCGCGTCACTATATTTATTATATTGAGATTTCATTTCAATAATTTTAGAAATATATTTATGCGACTTCTGTGGTCATCAGTGTTGTGTAAAACCTGAAGTTATAACACTGAATAATTATAATGTAGAACTGTTGAGTTCAGAAATTAATACTCTCCAAAAATTTTCAATTTTATCTGAAGAGCAACTCGAATAGAAGAACACCAAATCAGGGTATAACGGTACCATGTAATACTAAATTTTATTTAGTATACCTCAATTTGAGATCCCCTACATAGTACTAAGAAAATCGTAAACACGTTTTTCTTTTCTTTTTTTACTTGAAATAAAACCATTACGATTGTCGTGGCTTTTCTGTATCTGATTAACTCAGCTCAAACAACTGCTTCGGCTAAAATTATATTTGAAATAGCCCTAGCCTTGCTTTTTGTTTACTTGTTCTTAAGCACAAAAGTACACAACGAGTTATCTGGGCTGTGTCCACCGCAGGTATTGATGCCAGAGTTTTAGCGTTACAACTCTGCAAGGTTACTGCTGAGCCATTGAAGGATACTGGCTTGCCGTTCCGGTGGTGGACACTAAAAAAACAACTGAAATTCTTAATGTCGTCTTGCCATTAATAAACCAATAAAGAAGCCAAAGGTTAAAGAGATATAATGTGAAAACTTGGGGGACAGGGTATTCTTCTAACTTTTAATGTTTTCACGAACGGTCGAACCAGTTAAGTCTCTTATGAACAAATACAATTTTTTTATGTCTTGAGCTGAAAAAAGGAACTATTGAGAATATTCTGCGAAAGGGACGATAAATCAAACCTGTCGAAAATAACTAGTACAAAAAAGAACTTGTAGTGTTTACACTGCTTCAAGTAATGGAAACATTATTTTCTTACAACACTTCCTTAATTACAAAGCACTGGAGTTAATTTCATTTAGTCTTAATAACTAAAGCTTTAACCGCTTTGTCTAGAAGTAATGGTTTGCCATAATTGGCGTAGATTAGACTAAGAAGTTATTGAGAATATTTAAACCAAGCATAATTTACTAAAAATCATTATCAATAAACGAACTAAAAGCCATTTGACAACTTTAAATCTACTCAAGTTTTGTCACGCCATCGGAAAAACAGTTTATAACAAAATACAAAGCAGACCTACAAATATTTCGCACAACTCTGACACTTAGCAAAAATCATTCCTGAAGACTTAACAAGTACATTGGCAAGCAAAATAAACGACTTTTTTTTTAATAAACAAAGATATTTCACATTATTAGTTTATGTTGACACAGACGAGATTTATATGTTAATCACTAAATGGCTATTTAAAGATTATTGAGTTTAATACATTTTAAATTGTTGAAAAATTAAAATAAAACTTGATAAATATATTTTGGTCTTAAAGTTTAGAGAGAATGAAAAGAACAAGTTTATAACTTGTGGAAAGGCCGAATTTTTCTGGTTTTCAAGACAGTTAGTTACACTAATCGTCGATAGCTGCTCATCCTCAACCTTATAGCAACTAACGTCAAAGTTCGTAGTTAGTATAACAATATTATTCTTAGCTAGTACATACTGCATAATGCTGGAAGTATTCCCAAGTCTTATCGTTTTGTGTGTGTGTTTAAAAATTTTCACGTAAAATTACATTAGGGCTATCTACACACAGTTTTGAACTGATAGGCATCCATAGCCCCAAAATACGGCGTGCGATTTTGTGGCAACAGGAAGTGAACCATGTACCCTCGGATTAAACAATCTGGTCACCCTGTGTACTTGGCCACGTACAGCCAGGTCTTTTTTTTTTGGAGTATGTTCTGAACTTGTAAACAAACGATTATATTTTCGAGAAACTACATCCTTACTAAGAAATAAATGCTATTTTACAAATCAGTCTTAAAACACATTGAAGTTGTACTTGTTATATTCTTTAGATGGGACAAACTAACTATATAAAATTACTATCTGCAATTTTGGCTAAATGATATAATACTTCATAATTCTAGAACTAGGCTTCACCAACACCTACAATGGCGTTTCACGAGAGAACGAAACCTTGTTTTTCTTGACTGAGACCGTTCGTATTATATTACAGCTCTTTTATCTGTTTTAGCATACACAAGTAGTTGTATATGTTAAATTTTGGTACTTAAAGAAAATGTAGCTAGAAAACAAAAATACTAGACTTAAATATTATTTCTAATAGAGCCACTAAGTTTACTCAATATATACATATTATCATTAAAAAACCATATTTATGCTATTGCTTCCTTTGGTTAACTATAGCCAAAACTAAACTATTTATAATGAAATTCAAATGTTTTTCGCTATAACAAAAGAGGCGTCTTCAAGCACATTTTTTCCGTGATGATGGATAACCCAAATACCATAAATTAACCATGTAAAGAACGTTCCAGCATTTCTCGGTATACAAAAGAATACACTCACCTTGTTTCCTTCGACGCTTATTATTCGGTACAAATTCCTCGACGAGTCATAAAAGAAACTAACATTGATAGCTTGTGAGCTAGCTGGAATCCACGCCCGCTTGGTCTTAGGGTCGATATGAAACACATGAGCTTTGGTGGTAAACATGGGCTGCTCTCTGAAATACAGAGAGAAAGGTGAAATCTATGGATGAACCTATACATATAAAAACAGTCATTACACATTTGGTTTAAATATAGATTAGAAAACATCTTAATCAATTATGATAAATCTTTTAAACACTGCTTTAAACAGCGAGTTCATACGATTGATAACGTTTTCCATGAACACCTGTCCCTCCTAGATTGGTTTTTAGACAACGCTTTGGGTTCTTATCCCGAGTCTTATCTTGTTAACAACTTATGTCAACTCTTTGTTCCTCAACCCGAAGTTTACATTTCACTACTAACTAGAGGGGCATTCAGTACAGCGCATACCTCCGCCACGCAACGTTGATCATATTCGGCTCTCAACGGACACGGACCATTTTTCGCAGAACAATGAGGAGTGATATTCTACTTAAGTCCACTAAGTTTCACCAAAATCCGATCATTCTGGCCGAGTTATAGAGCAAAAAAGTGTGATAAATCGGTGCCCATGTTAACAGATGGAGATTTTTTGAATTTTCGTGACCTTGCTGTCATATCTAATACTTTGAAAGAAGAGTTTGTCCGTCCGTCTGTCTTTATGTCTGGTGTCCCAAGTTGTTGCTGAACCTATCTCGATGAAATTTTGTAAGAGAACTTTCGTGGACCTATCAAAGATTGAGTTTAAATGAAGAAGCAATCGAATGAAAGGTTCGAGTTTTATATAACCATTTTAGTTTCATTGCCTTATTGCTGTGATGGACGCTAAACTGAGAAAGGTAGTCGGTATTGGAAAACGCGAACTACACAAAGGTGACGTTTAATGCTGCGCACAGCTGTTTGTTTGTATATTGAACTTCGCATAAAGCTGTACAAGGGCTATCTGTAACTAAACTGAAATTGTAGAATAAAGGAAATGCAACTATTCAACATCACCCACTGCCAACTGTTACTCCACTATTGTCAGACCAAAGAGTAATGTTGACCGTCACTGTGAGAGTGCATTCAAGGCATGAAAAAAAAAAATGGCGTGCGATTTTTTTTGGCGGTATCTTGACGCGAACCACAGTCCGGCATGCTAACCACTTGTCATTGCACGGCTTAATACATAGCATAGGTAACTTTGCATCCGACAAACGGTTCGCGTAGTACAGCTAAAAACAGTGGAAAGGGGAGGCCGACAACCCCATTTACAGCATTACTTTTTCAGCCCTGATACCTTTGTTAGTAATGAATATATCATCTATATATACACAAATAATTTATGATAATTCAACACAATATTACATCATTCACGCTTCTGTTGGTAAGATGTACAAAACATTATGCAGCAAATGCGTATGAACAGTGTAAATGTACATTTATTTTTTAATACATATCGTGTATTAATACTTTACATCGTGTGTAGAAGAATTTTTGACAAAGTTACAAGTGAAGTACGTGTTACATAAAGTTAATGCTATAAATGAATGACTGGGAAATGACAATAGTGCTATCGTTGAAAGCACAAAAAGTAGTAACAAAATCAACTTGAACAGACATTTAGACCGTTGAATTTGAACTAAAAAGTATGTTCAATGTAATATTTTAAGTTATAATGTTCCCATGAAGGAAGAAAATATTTTGTGGAAACAAAATGCTACTTTACTACATGGGACCAAATGCAATAGGCATCTATATAATACACGAGCTTTGAAATGTAAATATGAGAAGAATAAATTCCATTGTCAAATGATTTAGTAGCCTTTTGTTCAAATAATGTAATCGACTCTGCAGTTAAACTCGTAACATTTAACATAAATAAAAAAAGCATTAGGTCAAGAGTAATATATATTTATATATACGTGATATTAACGATAACTCAAAAACAAAAATATGACATTGGCAGGGAATACAGATGCATTGTCAAACATCAGATATTTAAAAACAGACATTAACGTATATCATTTGTAAAAAAAAGGGACGCGCAATTGTTACACCATAGTCATATTTACATCTATAAAATGAACTATTTTGGATTCAAACACCCGATGCACGTTTTTCAGTTGAAATGTTTTATATTTTAATTGTGTTCAAGTTAAACTGCCTCATTTTATTTTTCAAAATCGCGACACCCTCCTGCAGAGCAGTTCTTAGATCCAGTATATAGGGGAGACCGGGGCTAGTTGTTACAGGGGCAAGTTGATACAGTACCTCTAGCTCTTGTTGAGATTAATAGACGGCGATAGTTCACGCACCATCGAACACGTGTTGCACAAGCTTTGTTTTAATGGCGACATGAATAAGATCAGTCACGAAATAAAAAAGGTATGTACATTTTCTGTTTTTGCATACCTAAACTAAAAAAACTGTCTAGGAAATATCTATTTACTCTTTATATACTGTGTTTT